TGAAAAAAATGAGAGAGTGCTTTAATATGCTTCTACATGGGAGAAACAAAAGAATTACGCAAAATCAGAGTGAGTAAGTCATATCTGCAGCGTTCAAAATTTTAGGGTAGCTGTATATAACCAGCCTTGATTCCTGTCTGGAGTTAAAAAAAGTGAATTAGAAATGTTAAGACTAAATAGTCTTCAAAATGGTGTGTTTTAAAAAAAATTTTAAGATTATAGGAGCCTAATGTTACCAACATGTTCATTAATGTTACATGTTCATCATTTTCAGACAAAAATACAACTGAAAATGGAAAAGCTTTCTTCGACTACTAAAGCAATCTGTGACTTGGAAACATTCCACCATGGAGCTGGGAATTGCACAGCCCCCTTCTTTCATACATGGCCCACGCCATACTTCTGTAAGTAAAATATTGATTATCTTAGCTAATCGCATTGTGTCGTTGATGTCATCTAATTTAGGACTGGAAAATAAACCCTTTTATCTGGATGTCTTGCCTTAGAGAGGGAGAGAGTGTATCTGTCTCCTTTATAATTGACTAATCAATAAACACATGAATGCACCACTTGGCTTAGGGTTACTGCTGATGGCTGCTTGTATGAATTGCCAAGCGTTGTCTGGCATGCAACAATTACAGCATGAAACTAAGCTTGTCAGCAGCTTACAGTGCCCAAGCTGCAACAGCCACATCCTTTGTAGAGAGAGGCATACTTGCAACTTGGTAGCATTAAGCCCTAGGCTTGGCTGACTTGACTTGTTACTTGTCACTGAAGTGCAATCCTTGAATAGGAAGAACGAGCTATACCTCAGTTTATTCTCAGGCAGCCAAAGAAAATTTCCTCTGATCTCAATGTCAGTCAAGACAAGTAAAGAAATGTTCAGCTACTGCCTGCTGTTAGTATCCATCCTTTTAGCATTCACTTGATAGCAAAAGGTGCTGCCTCCCAACTCGTATTACCACAGTTTTAAAACTGTGAATTCAAGAGAAGCCTGATTGCATGCAAACGAACTGCCTTCTCTATGAAGTGAAAGTCATACCTTTGTGAAGCCCTGCTTCTTACTTCCCTACCACAAGTTAGCAGGGTTTTTATGTATTAGTTTACAAGGGTGAAAAGGACAAAGACAACTGCTGTCAAAACACTTGTTGTGACTGAATCATTTAGTGATGTTCTCTACTCCATGAAAGACTAAATCCTCCTGAAGGTACTGATAGTTCAGGTTAAGTTAGAAACGCAAGATCAGTCTCTCTTAAGAAATAATTTGTGCGGTTATTTTTTAGAAAGTCAAACAATTAAAGATTATTACATAAACAGATTTTAATCCCCCTACCAGTATGACTAACATAACTAATACAACAATAGTTTTTACATTACACACTTGAGTTTTGGTCTGTTGTTTTGTTTTACCATTACTTTTCGCTATTGGTATCACTTACTGGTGATCATGCATTGCTGAAGTGCCTGACAGCGTGTGAGGACATCCTTTAGATTAGCTAAAATCAACAGTGACTCTAAAATGTGAAGTTTGTATTTCAAAATAGCATTATCAAATTTTAAAATAAAATTTCAGTTATTTGAAAGAATAGCTATAATTGTTAATTTTACAGTGGGTCCTGAGAATCAATACCACTGCTCACTCTATAATTAAAAGGGGATTTATGTCAAAATCACAAGTGTATAAAATATATCCAAAAGCTGAGGAAATTGTTTAGGGCTTTATATTATAGTGTACAAACATTATTAATGCTGTAAAAACCAAGATGTCTAATTATGGGGAATAGCTTATGTAAGTAGGGGTCTTTTTAATGATCAACATATTACAAGTATAATTTAACAGAATTGCTGAAATGTTCTGGTCAATGTGCTTGGTTTTTCAATCCATTTCAGATGAGGTTTCTCTGAAGCTCTCTGAAATATACAAGAAGGAACTACAACTCAAGCAAACAATTGTACAAGAAATTGCTCATACTGCTGACCAGGATCTGATGATGGTCTATTTGTCATCATGGTTATACCAGCCTTACATTGAGAACAGCAGCAAACTACTACTTGAAGCCATGCTGCTGGAAACAGGACATAGACAGTGCTAGAATTTCAAATGTTACATGGCTTGCTTCTAATGATGCTTACATGAAACCGAAATGGCAAGTTGCAAGGCTTACCAAGTAAGTGAAATTTTTGTAAAACTTATTAAAAATATTTTTCTGTATTTGTATTTATTATTTTGTCTCAGCTGATCCTCTTTTTTCTTCATGGGACAAACTGGTTTTGGTTGCTTTATCCATTTTAAGTGCAATAGAGAGGCTACAGGTAGGACACCATCGTCCTGTAATCAGAAAGAGGTAAGCACTGCTTGGTGGTCTGGGGGGATTCAATGCACATAGACACCCACAGCAAAGAATTTAACTACTTTCTAAATCTTGACAGTCTAAAATATCTACATTGTCCCTTTCTACCGTAGAAATTCAGCATGTCTTGATCTTTTGTGGGTTTGGTTTTTGTGTGACTTAACAAGGTTAGTGCTTTTATACTTGCTTTATAAATGGGGAAAAGGAAATAAGAACAGAAAAGGCAGGATCCAAAAGTGGATCCAGAAGGATCCACATAGTTTGGTTTGTGGTTCTGAAATGCTGTCGCAGGCACTAGTGTAAATTCTGCTTTAGTTTTGACTAAGATCCAAGCCTAGCGCACTGGGAAGATTTAGTACAACTCGCCATTCCACAGTCATTATATGAAAAGGTCTTGTCTCTTTTAATTCATTGTAACTTTTCTTCTAGAGATGTTTCACGAAAGCATCTGTTGCATAAAAACAGGACCTGCTTCAGTCATGTGCTTATCCCATATAGTATGCTTCCTGTCATAGGGCTCAGCGAGTTTTTCCTTGGATTGCTGTTTCTGTTGTCAAGAGTGTGTGGTTTAAAGGTGTGCCCCCTCTGGTTAGCAGTTTACATGATAAGAATCAGTGGCTCAAATTCTTTTCTTTTTCATGCTGCTTTCTCAGAGAAGAGAGTAGAGCATGTGTTCAGGAGAAACAGTTAATACAAAAGCTAAATGCTGAAGTGCAATTCAATACCCTTAATTTGCTTTCACTCCTAAAGACATAATAATCGCTGTAGCATACCGTTGCATCAGACCTGGGTAGTGGGGAGAGGCTGCTACGCTTACCCAGCCTTTAGTAACTGTTAGCTGCTATTGCAAATTATCACTTTTCAGAAAAGTGTATTACTATGTAGAAACCATGCAGCTGTGTCCTCAAATTTTTAGTTAAATCCCTAATGCGTAGTGAATTATGGCCTTCTGCTTACTTCATTATGATCAATAATCTAAATTCCTCCCACTTACTGATTGCCTGTATGACCTGCTCCTATATAAACTGTTGATTTAGATCTCCCTATTTCACACAATTACATAGTATTTCTAAGTGCTGTTGATTCATTGTTGTGCCCTGACAGATGTTTACCCTCAATTCTCCTTGAAACAACTATTTGAACTGAAAGACAGTAACATGAAACACACGCTGCTATGAAATGACCGTAATGGCTGTGGTTTGGTGCTAGAAAAAATCCAATTAAAACGGTGAGAGATTCTGGAGCAGATTTCTGATAGGAAAAGCAGAGTCACTTACTTAACTAGTTCCAAGCTGAAGCCCCGTAAGCTTGGTAAGGGACATACATGAGTTTCCTGCAGTAACGGAACAGCAGACGTGAATTGGCAAAGTTTTCTCGACATGTTGCTCTGTTCATCGAGGTTGCTTCTGACAGCTTGATAGTGTTGTATTCTTACCCCACTTTTCTAGCATCTAAAAAGAAATTCTGCAGTAGCTCAAGGAGAATACAATCAATTATGAATAGCTTTGTTGGGTTTTATTTTTTCTGTGCAAGTGTTCCACCTACTTTAACAGCAACCTTAATTTATCCGAGTAGGGCCAGACCCTTGTCACTATGGAAACACCTTCATACTCGAAAAATATTTTCCAAGGAGAAAAGGTTGGTTCAGTTATGGAATTGTTCTTTTAAGATGAGAGTAGGTGTATTGTATTTCCCAGCATGTGCAAATCAATAGGGAATGTGGAATTGAAGCAAATTTTCATTTTCTGCACAGGTGGAAATTGTGGTTTGTTCTTGTTTCTTAGAGGAAATAAGGTCTTCAGGAAGGAGCCTTATATTCACAGACGCCCTTGCTCATTGACTGCTAACAGACACAGGGAGATTACTGCAAATCATTGCAGAGATGTTTTGCCATTATAGCTCTAAGCAGTTGTTATATTTGAAGCCCTCAGATGAAGCTATTAGACAGTCAGTACAAAGACTTGCTCACTGCAATCAAAGACTTTCAAAGACCAGCAGAGCCTTGCTTTGTATGGTATCTTCATTTATAAGGTAGGCCTGTATCCTCTGACCATTATCACCTCCTAAAAAATAAAAAAAGAAAAAAAAAAAAAAAAAGAAAAAAACCAAAACAAAAACTACACCATAAACCCAACCACCAGACAGGAGCTCACTAACATATGATGACATCTTTCACACCCACACATAAAATGCAGTCTTTTGGCTAATCCAGTTAATCTACTTAGGCAACCAAAGAAAAAAAACCAGCAAAAACCAAACAAAACCCAAACCAACTATGTTAAGAGAGATAGAGTAGGGCAGATTGCTTCATCTCTAAATTGTCCTCTCTTGTTTAGATTCAGTTTTAGCGTAAGCTTTTTCTCAGTAACAAGACCATGAAAAATCAATGTTCATACTTGAATTAAGAACAGTTCTCCTGCATATTACAGGTCCTTTTAGCTGATTTGTTGTCTCAGTGACCTCATGTATTTAGCAATGAGGTGACACACACATTTTAAAAGTTTTACCAGTTTTCAGTAATGTCTACAATAGCTCACGAACAAAATAAAGATACTGGTCATTTAAGGCTGTTCTTTTTCACCTGCTAAGCTTCTTGAAAGACAAGACAGCGCCTTGGACAAGAAGCTTCTAGGAGGTCTCCACAAAAATACTATCCTCCAAGCAACATACTGCAAGTATGACAAATACAAGATAGCAGTAGATAATTGATTTGGTAAGTTTTCTGTCTGCATAGAGAAACAAGGATTATAGTCAAGGATATCTTTTTATTACAACTAATAGTACAGGGCAGCGTGGAATTATTAGGAAGGTCAATGCTTAGAACTGATAAAGGATGCATCATCTGAAAGAAAAAAAAGCACAACACAAGTCTAACAAAAATAGACGATCACAGGCTAAAGTAAAAAAAAAAAAGAATTTGGTATCTCATTAAGGAAAATCAGATCACTACTTACGCACCTTCCCCTTTCTGTCTAATTAACAGCAATTTTTCAAGGCGTGGATGAACATTAGACAAGCATACTCAAATACATTTCCAACAGTTCAGTACAAATCAGATCTCGTTTGAGGCTATTTTTGTCTCTAACTCAGTGGATGCTTATTTAAGTAAGGATCAGCTAGGCTGTCACATTGTACCCAGAATGCACAAGTGTGGATTATATTTAAAACTGCCTATTTTTCCAGGCAGATTTATGTGCACCAAGTCTAGATGCTAATGAGTATTCAAGCTAGCTTTAAGAAAGGGCAGTAACAAAGTGTTTTGTAATCTCAATGGCACAGAAAACGCATGTTTTTAATACAGTTTTTATTTTACCCATATACAGCTTGCCAGTACACAGCACATCACTGCTGAGCAGCAGTACAACTTACTGCATTTTTAGATGGCTAGAGAGAAAAGGAATTATGTAACAAAAGGGAATAGTGCAACAGTTTAAGGGTTGACAGATTTCCACTTTCCACCCACCCCCAACATATAAAGCAAATAGAACGACGTTAATTCTAGAATTTTTGGTTGCAATGCTGCTAGATTTATATAAACATAAGTTATAAAAAGTACAGGGCATAGAAACAGTTTACAAATAAGTTAAATTTCAATTATTTCAGTATTCACATTAGAAAAATATACATTTTATAGTCAGTCTTTTCCAGAAGAAAGCATATACAGTTTTCTAATTTATGGCTCCAATTCACTTTGCGAGAGCAAAATATCTTCACTTTGGCCATCTGCTTCCATTGCCAGTAGTGCTTCCACAGTTTCCAAAGGTATCCCCTCAGGTGTGCGAATGTGCATTGTAGTACCATTAGAATCGGTTACAATAACGATACCTTCTGCCTGAGACAGAACTGCAGTATCTGGATGAGACAGGATAAGCCCATCTGAAGTCTGAATAAAAATTTGTTCATGTCCCTGAGTCAAAAAATCATGGCTCTCATCAGTAATCTCAAAGGCTACAGTTTCATCTACAGTAACTGTATTCTCCAGCTCATGTTGTTCCTCTGTTGCACAAGAAAATTCATTCATGTTTTTAAAAGAGTTTTCATGGTTCACATGAGCAGACAGGGAGGCTTCCTGGACAGGGTTCTGGTGCAACTCAGTCTGAGCACCATGTGGGTAGTTTATTGGCACGATGTTTGTTGAAAGAACTTTTTCAAGTTCCTGCATCTCATCAGTCATATCAGCATTTTGAAGTTGTTCAGAATGTTCTTTAATTGCAAAATCATGGTTTTCTTCTTGCAGTTTCTGGTATTTTTGATCGTGACCATTTTCTTCCCTCGTTGGTAAATTAGTGCTCTGACTGCCCATTGCATTCTCCGACACAGAGTTGCAAGGTTCAGGAGCTGGCAGTCCACCTGCTGTATTCTCACTCACAAAGTGTGCTTGAACTAATCCAGATGAGCCATCGGTTTCAACAGGTAATACAACTTCAGCATGTAGCAGAGATGCTTCACCTGCCATACCTGGTCCCTGTATGTTCACAGGCTGGGAATACTCTATCCTCATTTTCACAGTCTGGGAGAAGGTACCTGAATTTTCAACATTGATTCCAACTCCTGAATCAGCAAGTGAATTATGCTCCTCTGCCGTCAGTAATGTACTTCCAGTTGTGCAGCAAGTGATATGCCCATCTTCTGAAAGCAGGATTTCTCCATTTAATGGATTAAAACCTGAAAAGGTAAAAGAAATACCATTTTGTTGGGCAATCTAATACTGCATGTCCAAAAAGTTATTTTTCGGTAATAATTTTGGAGGCAGAGCTAGACTACTTCCCTGCTTTCTTCCCCAAATTAGCAAATGTGAAGTACCTTACACGAGTTTCACAGCACTTCCCAATGAGAAAGCCAGTACAAAAATACCTAAGGAATTTTTAGATAGTGAAACATTGCAAGGTCCCTTGGTATGAAAATATTTAACATTAGAACCAGCATTTTTCTGTCAATCCTGAAAGCAACCTGGGTTGAAAGTCAAACTCCGTTCTCTTCATCTGGCATACAGCCGGTAACATTAAAAGATAAATAATATACTAGTGACACAGTTAGCTGCTCATCCCTATTACCATTAGTAAATTGACAGAAGCATTTAAACTTGATAAAATTTCTGTTGATAATCAAGCTCATCCTGGACTCAGACCCACCATTGAGTTACTACGTAGCTAATTAGCTGTGCTAACAGCCCCAGGAGCACTTTTGTCCTGTGATAGAAAAGGTAAAAAACACTAGAAATGTGATGTGTTTTACCAGTTACTTGACCTGGACCAAGAGCCAGGTCACACACCCAGTAGGTAGTTGAACAGTAACTACTAAGCTGCAGTAGCATGAGCTGTTGGTTTTTATTACTGAAGATCAAAAGGAACAAGTAGGTTGGGTTGGGGTTTTTTTGTTTGTTACGGAAGATACCACTGCACAACAAAGGAGGCCTAACTAGCAGGTGCAAATGAAACAAAATTTAAAGAACTCGTAGCCCAGAAGAAAATCGTAATACAACAAGTAGTAAGCATGGTCATGCAGAGAGCCTTTCAGAGAAAGAAAAATAAACCCGGGGGAAAACAAAACCACAACCATTGACAGAAATATGTGCAAAGGGCAAAAGCAAAGCAGCTTACAGCAACACCAAGAAAAGATATTTACAAAGCAATAGGATGGTACTGATATACACATCTTACTAGAGATCGGTAAAGGCTGGAATCTTTCACAAAAGTGATCATAACACCTCTGAATGACTGCAACACTTTCACATAAGACCAGTGGAGTTTTGGGAGATTACAGGTGGGGACCCATCTCATTTTCCTTTCTAATCTACTGTTACCCTGCCGATCTGAGGGGCAGGGGGAATAAAGACAAAAAAAGGATAAAAAGAAAGGCAACCACCCAAAGACCATGGTGCAAAATGGTGCCTCAGTTCCAATCTTCAGGTCCTGCATCTCCCCTGGGGTAGAGGACAGCCTGCAGCAGCTCTCCCCCTCTCCCAGGATACACAAAGCTCTGCTGATTCTGCTATTGCAGCCTGCTGGGGCAAAGAGGAAGGACACGCACACTGTCCTCCTCCTCTGCTCTCCCACTGCTGACACACAGGTTGTGCACCATCTCCACTATGAGGGACAGGGCGGACAGGAAACATTCAGGAAGCACACAATAGAGGACAGTACTATTCTCATAGTACTGCAGTAGTATCAATAACTGGATTATCATGCATTCAGAATTGAGCTACCGCTGTGGTCTGCATCATCCATAACTTTCCCCCTCCCACCCCCGCCATTAGTCCTTTCCAGTTCAACAGCTGCTTTTGAAGGACCTGGGAAGCCAGTTAAGAAATGAAACCTTAAGACAAAAACCACAGTAGCTTGAAGAACAAAGACATTTGTTCAGCTCCTCCATGAACAGAACAGAATTGGAAAAATCTGAAGAGGTTACCATCTTTTTCAAACAGTGTACACAAATTCCCACTCTTTTCTTTCACTTCATCTTGACTGGCATAAGCATTATTCACATTCTCCATTACGTCTTCTAACTTGGTCCTTTTGGCTGATGGCAACAGCTCCTCCCCTGAGCTCTGTCAATACAAGAGATAATTAACTGGCTGCCACTGTAACAGCTGACAACATTGGAAAAGATCACAAACTAACTGTGGGCACTTCATGGCAGTGAACTGGTACTCTCCTTAAAAATGGGATTTTAAACTAAAGGTCTTCCTAAAAGGTGAAGATTTAAACACGGCCCTCACACTTCACCAAAATGCCACTGATTACTGTTGATATTTGGTTGAAACAATCTGCCTTTGCTTCAGCATCAAAGCTTCTCTCAGCCTTTGTGATTAGCTGTATGGCTTGAAACCTGCTATAAGCTCTCTCTCCAACTTCAATGAAGGGCTGTGAACAGCCTGCCCAGCATTGTTTGGTTAATGAAGAAAGACAGATCAGCTCTTTAAATTTAGCCACAAGCAGAAAATGCAAAATCACTAGTCTTAATTTATCCACCACCAGAAACAACTCTGGATTAAATAAAAAGTAGAACAGTTAAGGGGACAGACCATGGAGATGTGACTTTCAAGAAGAGGAAATGCGGCTCCCTGCTACAGCTGTAAACAGACTAAATCTGGTAAACTGACTGGTTAGAAAGAAAGGAACTGTTTTCATGCACCTCTACCTACCACCAGTTAGCAGAGCAACCACTTCTCCAAAATCTGAGGCTGCTGTAGGTTAGCCTATTTACTCCAACACAAGTTATTAGAATCTGGGGATCCTTCTCCCTGTGGGGCCCCATTTACTAGCACCTCAACAAAATTCTTTCTTCCTTGTGTCATGAGATTACCTGTAAGCCTTTGAGATTCTGTCCTGAATGCTACCAAGTGTCTTTCCAATGTACATCTTTAGCATGCTACTTCATATGTTCTACTATGATACCACAGTAGAGAGTACTTCTATAAGTATTTCCAAACTCCAAACACCATGAAAGCCTTACTTTAACACGAGTCAGGTAATACTAGTTAGATTTTGTAAGGAATAATTATCTGTTTTCACAAGTTTTAATTTGTCTTAATTTTTAATTTTCACAAAGGTATTCCATACCTCAGCTAACCGTTTTTGTCCCAGTATCTCCACGGGCACTTGCTCACTAACCATTTTAATTATACATTGTGAACAAGAGTCTACACCTTGCGTCTTTCGTTCTCCAGTGAGTATTTCTGGAATTCCTAGCGATTCAGCAACCTTTAAAAACAGTTATAGGAAAAAAAGTAAAAGTTAGCCTCTCCAACCTGAATACATAAATGCTGAAATACTGATTTGTTTTCTTAAAACTGAACTAGAACTGCATGGGGTCTACTCTAATAATCAATCATCACAGCTCAATGACGTATTTAGACTCCCATGTTTTCTACTAGCCTCCATATTAATAGAACACGACCTTCATGTGAAGGTGAATATTAACAGGCAAAGTCAAAAGAATTAGGAGTACAATAGTTATATATAGAATCCAGAGACCGTTACTAAGAGCAGAGTTTAATAAAGAACACTGTTGAGACTCTCCATTATTAAAAAAAAAAAGTTTAAGTCTTCCTCATTAAGAGTATCTCCTAGTATTTAAGGATTTCCCTCCCCCAGTTGCGTTCCTGTGCTTCATCCTCATGTACATGTGCTACTATACAACTTCTCCGGGCTGGGTCGGTTAGTTTGTTTTGGGTTTTGGTTTGGGTTTTTTGTTGGTTTTTTTTTTTTTTTTTTAAAGAGCATAATTCTATATTAAGGCAACACATTAACACTGAAGAGAAACAAGAAAGAGGTTCCATTTTGGGACTGCCAGTATCAACAGCATCCCTTTACTTGGTGCAACTTAATTTCTCCAAACGGAAACATCAGTGTTAATTACAAAATAGCCAGATGAGCACACAGTAATTCTAGAAAGTTTTTTAGTACGTACAGCGAACATCACTATTTATTCTGAAAAATAAATATTAACCACTGCTAACAGTCCATACAGGACTTCACTTTTTAAACCAGGATTATTGTAAGAACCAAAATCTTATCTCCACCATCCCTACTCTGAGTTTTCCAGTACACTCCCCTCTCATAGTAGTTGCAAGTTCAGTGCTGATGTACCTTATGTACATCATTTAGAAATGTTAGTGGCAGTAGTATACCAAATAGTGTTTTCACTACTGGAAACAGAGAAGGGAAAACCAAAAATATCTTATGTACAAAGAGCTGTTTTAATCTAAGCAAGGGGAACGTAAATCAATAAGGATCCATAAGGATAAACAGATCCACATTAAAAAAAAAACCACAAAAAACAACCACCAGAAAACCAAACCTACATTGTCTTTATAGACACAGCTGCATAAACAACGAATCTGAAGATTAACTGAGATAATAGTTTGCAGTTTTATTAATGTATTCACTATGTTTCATATTTATTAGCATGACTGGGAACTGCATAGATGCATTCAGTTTGTCCTCTTTTTGCAATGAAACCCCTTATCCCTTTAAATCAAGGCCACTCTTTTTAAATATAGACCCCTCCTTCCTAATCAAACATCAAGATATACTTCTGTTAGCATTTAATGCTAAATACACCTTGCAGTAACATGTAGCTTCATACTACCCTAGATATGCAAGACAGACATCAGCACTGCTAGAATTTTTTTTGGTATATTTTTAGTTGTATCTACTGCCATAAACTGGAATTGTAGTTTTATTATGGGTTTCTTTTTCTCTCTGGTTAGTTGGACTTTTTAAAATGTCTATTTTTGCTCATCAAAAAACATGTTTTCTTCAAATAACTTTACCAGGGTGACAAAGCTTATCAGAGAAAAATAAAAACGCAAAGCATCTAAAATAAATAGAACAAAACAAAAAAATTACAGTTCCAAATAGTGTGCTTTATTACCTTAGCATCTTTTATTTCAACAGGCTGCTGGCAACTCAGCAAATCAGAATTATTGAGGTGATCATAAGCCATCTTCTTTACCATATTATGCAAGTCTTCAAACTCCCTATACACATCTGGGAAGTAAGCTTTGGCTGGATACCCTTTTTCAACCTAGACATAAGAGGGGAAAAAAAAGGATTTGTTTTCCCCTCCCTATACTTTAAAAAAGATGAAATCTGTCAGTTTGTTTTGTCCAGCTTTTTACAATAGAAACATTCGAGTCAAAAGATTATACAGAGTATTCAAAAATGCCACTGAACCAGGCAGCAAAAAGCAAGGCTTTCAGTCAAGAGACCCACCAGAGTTTTGCCTGTGTAAGACTGAAGTTAGGTGTAGAACAGCTACATTCTGCACAATTCTAACCCAGGAAATTCAGATACATCTCTAAAGGAATCTTTTTATGTATACTAATGGAAGTGTCCCTATAATAATTTAGTATTTTTACATTAAAAAAAAAACAACTCACCTTCATCAACAGAAATTCATATACTGTAACAAGCTTTGTAAGACGTGGGAGAGCCAGCTCCATCAAGTCCTCATTATCACATTGTTGTATTAGCTGTCAAAAGCCAGAATGTGTTTATTAGAGCAAAGTAGCCTACAGAGGTTAAGCATCCCATGTTCAGAACGCAAAATACCACTACTTTTTTTGAAAGATACATTATGTTTAAGCAGCTTTGAGAATAGATGCAAACATAACACCAAAAGAGGAGATAAATTAGAAAACCTCAAAACAGTTACTACCTATATACAGACAAAACTCAGTCCCACAAATGTTGCCAACTCCTAGAAAGAGCAGCAACATCAGTAGATTTAGTAGCCATAAAGAATCTTCCAGAACACACATGAAACAAACAGAAAATTGTGTTAAGTTGCATGGATTTTAATCCCATCCTATCTTTCCCCAAGAGCTTCTTTGTGATTTGTTTGGTTGGTTTTTTTTCTTTTTTGATGTTGCCCAACTTCAGCTGGGTTTATTTCTTTTTACTGTGTTGGAGGAGATATATAATAGTGGCTAGTAACTTTCCTTCTCCAGAAAAAGGATAGTGAGAAGATATCTACATGTCAAAAGTCCCTTTCCAGACTGAGTTCCCATTTTCCCTTTGTCCAGTGTTCTGCTAGAAGTATTTTTTTCCTTAAAGACAACTTAATGTTTTCTTCTTAGAAGACACCTTAGGCTTTCATCTTGTCAGTACACAAAAAAAAAAAAAAAAATTCAGTCTTTCTAAAAATGATTCCTTGAAAATAAGTGATTAAAAAAAAAAAAAAAGGAGGGCAGGGGGAAGATACTTGTGAAGTAATTGCAGAAGAGAACCATACCTCTTTTAACCTAGCTTTTCTTCTGAATACATTGTGTTCTGCTGACACACTACTAAGTGACTTTGAAGGGGACTGACCAGGTCTGCTAAGCCTTCCAGAACACCTAGATCTTCCACCCATCCTTGGTCGACCACGTCTCTTTGGTCGTCTGGGTCTCCCAGGTCCTTTTGGTGTTATGGGTCCCCGGTGTCCTGAACTGGTCTCATTTTGTTGTTCTGCCAACAAGTGTCTGCTTTCTGCAGACTTACAAGTCTTAATTAAAAGAAAGAGAAAAGGATTTATTCACCATTTTAAACAGTGTTTTGAGGAAGACAATCTTATAATTAAGTTCTCCATCTATGCAAACAATAAATAGCATATTAAATAAATGCAAAGCTGGATACAAGCATAACTGCAAAGCAAGCTGCAGAATAAATCCAACACATTAGTAAGACTGCTACTTCTGCAACACATATATGCCATTATTTGCAAAGTTAGCATTTTTTATCCACAAAACGTCATACAAAAATTAAGGCAATATAATTAAAGAGCTGGTTTATGTCAGTTAAATATGTTTAATATTTTTGAAGTAAAATATGCCCTCTTCAAATAAAGAGGTTGTAGAAATAAATATTAATTAGCAGTGAAACACCCCCAAATAAAATTTGCATTTCATTATAACTATGTCAAAGCATGAAGACTTTATACGAAAGACAAAAACTCTTTACAGCCATCAACAGTGACAAGCCCGGTAACTAAAAATCACAATATATTGCCCAGTTTCCACATTTCAAAATCCTTAGTTTTCCCTAAGAACACAGCTAAGACGTAGCTTCTGTTATAAGACCACATGACAAACTCGAAGTACATTTTCTATTTTTCAAGTTATCATTGTGATTTTAGTACAATTTTTTTTTTACCGATCAAAGCAGTGACTTCTTACTGAATGCATCTTGTCTTCCCTTCCAAGCTAGAATTTCTAACAACATCCCAGTATTTTTTGAGAGGAGTTTACAGTAGTACTGAGGTATATCCAGCTTCTTTTCATAATCAGTACATTTTCATCCCAACATTCAGTAGCTCCCTATTATTCTAATGATTAGGAAAGCTCTAAAAAGGGCAGATTTATGTCAGCTCTATCCAGGGATTAAATTACTAAATTAGTTCTAAGTATGACATAAGATTAAGTTGAACATGGGGATCTTGATTGCCTTCCTGACTGTATCAATGTACCAGTTTTAATAATCCTGCTATTCTTTCTAGAAAGTATTTACCTGGCCAAAAACTGTAACGAATCAATGAGTTAAAGTGCAAATTTGTAGAATCCATAATAGCTAGTTAAAAGTAGCAGGTTCAGCAGCATCTAGCAGTAAGTATAGTAGTACTATGTATGAGACTGTCTGGAATTCTTCTGAATTCCCATCATCCTGTGTAAAGTAAGTGCTGCACAGGGAAGTAACAACTATATTATTATAATAATACAGAGAGCAGACTTCAGTATTCTGCAATTCTCTTTTTCCAAAGATGATAGAAGAGCGTAGAGGATGGGGGAGGCTCATTTGCTTCATTGGCATCTTAAGCTGTAAATTTTCACGTTTCTAACAACTTCACATAACAAATAAAAGTAATAGAAGTGTCACTGCTGCTACATCTATTTTTTTCGTAGACAGCAGCTGTATCAGCTCTTCCTGCAAGATGTTAGAATCATTTTAATATGAAAAGAGAAACTTTACTTTGAAGTGACCAGCTTAAAACATCACAGAAAAAAAATTCCTGCTAAAGTAGCTTCCAAACCAAAGAGTCAAGTTTCACCAAAGCATTTGGTTTGCAGGGGTGGCTAAGCCACACTTTCAAAACCTGCTCTAGGAAAAGCTGCGGTCCGCTGTTCGATTCCAAATAAGTGTCATCACAGAAAAATCTCTTTCAGTAACAGAAATTGATAGAGCAGATGATGTCTTGCTGTCTATCATGCTAAAGTCTGCATCTGAAGAACACAGTATTCTTATCCGAATGCAGAGAAGAATGCTATTTACGCAGACAAGGTTTTTTTTCAGGCTGAAAACTGTATGTAAGAAAACCAGTAACAAATGAACAGTCAGTGAACATTTTGGTTTATGTGCCAGTGCAAGAATGCTATTCCTGCAACATTACAAGAGACAATAATTTGGTTTTTAAAGGATTTCAATGGGAAATTTGTTTACTTTAGTATATCAGTGGATATTTCTGAGCAGTACAAGACTTCTCCATTTTACTAATGACACACCCTACCAAACTGACATGCATTTAAATCCCTACCTTCAGTCTTTTCAAAAATAGTTACAGTGTTGTCAACTCAAAGAACTCAAGACGAACGCATACAGCATGCAGCCACTAAACTGCCATTCTACTTTCTACAGAACTGACGGCTTTTCCCAGTAACACACTTTACCTGTTGTCCAGCCTTCAAATCAACAGTTTCTTCCAGATCGGTAGCTAGTGCATTTTCATTATTTAAAGTGACAGCAACTGAATCCAAATGTGCTGGACTCATCATTTCCTCTCTTATTCCACAGGCATTGTCCACGAATATACTTCCATTAGGCTTACTTAAAGGTATTTTTTGAGGTGAAGACTCCAGCTGTCCATGGCCTGGGTTAAGTTTATAATGTCTTGCTAATCCACCTTTTCCTATATAGGATTTTTCACAAGTCTGACATTTAAACATTTTGGGTTTCAGATTATAATTTGAAGAACTGAATAACGCATCCTTTCCCTTCACCTTTCCTTCTTCATCATCTTCTATACTCAGCTCACAATAGTCATCAGAATCAGACTGATGACCATCAGCCAAATCCTCCATTTTAATGAATTTATAATCTTTAGCTTTGTATTTGGGGGGGCGTGAAATCCGTCCAGAACGAGTTTTCACTTTCAAGGATTTTTTTAACTTGTCATCTTTTTGTTTCTTTTCAAGGCATGGTACCAGAGTATTTGCTGAACTGGCTGCAACCATGGTAGTATTTGGAGACCTTGTAGCGGATACTGTGGCACATGTAGCTTTCTGTCCATTTACCATCTTAGATGCGGGAATCTTGTTCACAGACACTGATCCATGAGGCGGTAAAGGTCTCTGCATAAGCAACTGAATTGGAGACTCAGAAGAACTATGCAGGACTAGCTGCTGCTGCTGCTGCTCACTTCCTGTAACAGGCTGTATCCTAATTATCTGGGGATTAATAATGCCAAGTCCTGGTATGCTAGAATTTCTACCAACCGACTGACTCAGCGTTATAGTTTTGGATTGGATTGGTGCCAATGATGGCATTGGCCTTTCAGTTTCCTTCATCTGTCCTGGCTGAACTTGGACACAAATGGCTTCCAGCTGCTTTTGTGGAAAAAAGGAAGAGTTGAGATTACACAAATACAGTCTTTATAAATAAAGACAATACTTGTCAAGATGATACACACGTGCCCTTAAAGCAAAGCACAAAGAAACCAATGCACATCATTGGTTTTCCATTTTAATGCATCAAAGCACAGATCTAACATCAAAGCACAGATTCCCTTCCTTCAAGCTACGGGCTCTCCTGCACGTTTACTGATGTGACTGCTGTCCAACCAAAGCCTGTAAAGTTTAGTCTTAGGCCATGTCACAGCTTTTTTCCCTGCTGGCAGGTCTGTTCTGGAATAGCAGAGTCAATGCCATCACCTAGGCAGACTCATAACCTTCAGCAGACCAAACGCAGAACTACAGTCTGCTAAACGTCACAGGCCAAATACCCAATCCAGGACATACTACAATAAGTGCTCAGCTCAAAAAAATTTGGTGATAATGACTAAGAGGAGGTACATCTTACTGTTCATCTCCCTCATAGCCTCTCCTCATCCAAATTTCTGCCTCAGCTCGAACCAATCATTTGACAATGACCGCATCCCAAAACGTGTGCTGAAAGCCCAGGTACTGTCACCTTCCGTAAGAGGGGCATGCATTATCTACCTGTGCATCGCCGCTTAACCGCTATGGAACAGCTCTTCTAAGTGGTCTTAGCTGCACGTGTCATCAGACTGAAATACTGACCACAGCAGCTGGTAACTACATTCAAACGTGGATTTTTCTAAACCACGTTCAAAGTTGTGTCTTTCAGCTGCGAGACTGGAGTCTACACTCAAGGGCAGGCGTGACTTGAGGAGGGAGGCAAAAAAAAAATTTAAAAAAATATATTAAAAGCCCTCCGAGACCTGCCCTCAGCAGTGGATTTCATCACCGAATGGACCGCAGGCTCCCTCCCTCCCCAGCCCCCGCCTCGGTTACCTTCTGCGGGAGGAGCCGGGCGGCCGCCATGGATTTGCCCTGCTGCAGGGCGACCTGCGCTTTCCTCACCGAAGGGACCGCAGGCCCCCCCCCTCCCCAGCCCCCGCCTCGGTTACCTTCTGCGGGAGGAGCCGGGCGGCCGCCATGGATTTGCCCT